AATACTAAATTAAAAGAAAAATCACACAATTTGACTAAAAATACAAAAATATGTTATTTTTGTGAANAATTATCATAAATAATTAAATACTAAATTAAAAGAAAAATCACACAATTTGACTAAAAATACAAAAATATGTTATTTTTGTGAATTTTTATTTTTGTAAAACAACAATTTACTTAATTAATCTAAAAATGTAAAACTAAATTCTAAATGCAGATGCTATATTTTGTATTTTCAATGCATTAATAAAATTAAATATGCACAAAATATGCAAACACTCAAGCAAATTGCACAGTAATTCCTAATAAAAAAAATCTAATTTTGGAAATTCTTTTTGGAGTAATTCATGTGAGGCAAAAATCACATGCTCACAACGGCTATGATCGAGGATGATGGAGGTGGTGGTGGTGGTGGCATGGTGGTAGTTGATAATGATAGGCGGTGGCGGCAGTTAATAATGAATATGTGATAGCATCTTAATGAAATTAAGTCACTGTCATAGATCTTAAACATACAGACCTATTCAAACCCATTAAGTGGTTGTAAAATAAATAAATAAAAAACTTAATGATTATGATCTGAATAATTAAGATTCAGACTTTAAAAACAAACGCATTTAATGTTTGAGATCTGAATGATTAAGATTCAGACCTCCATTAAGTACAAACAAATGAGGCCTAAGTCTCCAAAGGAATGATTCAGATTTGGATAGTTAAAGGTATAAGAGTAACAAGGGCGAAGTACACTAGTAGCCACTTTTAAGCCTTCTATTTAAAATATACAGAAAAGGGCTGAATATACTCCTGTACTATCGAAAATTTGTTATAGGTATCCTGTTATACTATTCGTTACTATCTACTCTATTTGTTATGCATTTTAATACTTGTAGCCCTATATTACGGACCCATTCATAAGCACGCGTGGCGCCATTTTAAACAGCCTAACCATTTACCCTCTAAACCACTCATTCAGCCTCGATCCTGATTGGGCGAATTGATTAATCTATAAATACATTATAATTAAACTGTAAATATATTTTAAAAAGCATGCGCAAAAGTAGCTACTTGTTATCACTTCCACGAGTAACAACACAGGGAACTCATATTAGAATTTCATTTATCACCCTAAATGTAAGCTCATCTATTTTCGATGAATACTATTACTCAAATTTTTTACTTATGTGTTTATTGTATCGGACTGTCCTATCAAAAATCAAGCTTGCCCGAACATCACCGTCCCAAAAAAATCCACAAAAAGTTGACTTTCCAAATTGGAGTCCTTTGATTTTGTCAAACATGCTTTCTTGCCAAGCCCACTATTCACTCTTTCATTGGTATTATACCTAAATAAAACTGACCTTATATAAACCGACACCGTTTAGTAACTGAACTAGAAGTGACACTTCCTTGAGAGTCAACACATACATTCTAATTCCACTCTAAGCCAAAATTTTAGTGCCCTATTGAAATTCAAACAAAAATAGAAAAATATTAGCTAGCACTCTCCTTACATCTCTTCTTTCCACATAATATACCAAATAAAGAATTACTTGTTGTATTTCTTTTTTCATTATTTTAAAGTGTATATTTTTGGGTTGTTTTTCCATACAAATTGAGGAGTTGACAAACCGTTTGGTTGAATGAATTCAAGGTAATTTGGTGACTCTTATATCTCTGTGTGATCAAATATATCATGTATGTATATAATTTCATTATGGGTCAGTTTTATTTTCTTTTATTTACCTAAAGATATAAACTTTATGGTTTTTTCTTGAGTTCTTGATTGGTAAATGGAGAGACCTTTGTTCTAGTTTTCTCTTATCATTTGGGTGTAACAAATTTTGCAATAACGTTTGTATCTTTCCTGCCTCTGTTTATATATTTATTTTTCCAAAGAATTGAATTTCAGCCTTTGCTGCTTTCTTGGTCTAGCTGTATATTTGAGCTGATCGATATACATCATATCAGTTTCAAGATTTTTTGAAACAATGAAAAGAAAAAGGACAAATTTTGAGAAGGAAAAGGAACTGCCAAAGTGTGATTGTATACTGTCTGTGTTGCATCATATTGAGCTGTCATAAAAAGAAGGGGGTAGGGGAGAGGGAGTATAGTTTTACTTGTTTGAATGATGAAGATAAGGTACTGTTAACTTGCTATTGAGAAAAAATTTAGTAAGTTTTTAGTTTTAGTTTAATTTGTGAAGCAGGAAATATGTCAAAAGAAGATTTTTGCTTCATTTTTCTTAATAAGTTGGCTGATAAAGTTTGGGTTGCAATGAAGCTCATTTTTTTTTGTTTTTTTTCGCCTGCATCACTGCGTGGTAATGTATAAGTCTCTTTGAAAATGGATAGAAATTAGATTGTCCTATACTTCATGCTGGCTTAATCTTTATGAGGTTAGTAAGCTGAAATGGTACAAATGGTGGGCCTAAGTTAACCATTTCACTTTTCAAAGTCTAGCATTTTGGCCTTCTTTAATTGTTTTGGCTGATTTGATGAACGCTATTGTCTGGATTAGTGCACCTCGGGTTCTGCTCAATAAATTCAGAAACAAGAAAAGTTTCAATCTTAGTTTCCTTCATGTTAAATCTTTCTGCCTTAACCAGAGACTTCGGGTTCAGCCCAGGGTATGGAATCGGCTTTGTTAGGGAGCACTTTTACCCCCCCCCCCCCCCCCCCCCCCAATGTGGGACTTCTTGGCGCGAATCCAGATTTAGTCGAGCCTAAATGTGAGTACTGGACACCGGGTGGGAAACCGAAAAAATCTTTCTGAGTTTGAGTTTAAGTTGCATTATGATGTTCATGCTCTACATTTCTGAAATCCAATATTATATGCTTCTTGTATGATGAATTCTTATGGTTGGTGTCTAAGTAGCAGCTCTATTTGACATTTTATTGATGCTTATAGCCTTAACCATTTTCTTTCTAATTGAAGAGGTTTATCAGTGGCTGCCTCTCTGGATTCTCCTGATCCACTTTCGGAAAGGAGCCTTATAGAGGATAATAATAACAGTAGCCAAGGTGGGGAAAGAAACATCTTAGATCATCAATCAATTTTGCTGGATCACGTCTCCAGTTCTTTCAGAAGAGAAGTAGTTAACAGGTGCACTTAATTGATGCCATTATCGTCTTCCTTTGTCATTATATTTTTGTTGTCTTTCTTTATCGTTACTTACATTGGTTCATTTCTGGTTGGTGGAGCTTATTCCTTGGTGACATGTTTGCTTCTTGTTGGTGGACTTGTTAATACTGCTAATGCATTTCATTTCAACGTGGCGGTATTTTAATAGATACTACCGCTGCTACTTGCTCTAGGTCTCTTGGAGATTCACCCAGTTTTACAACTGTGAACATATCTATTATATGAAGATTTATATTTTTGGTATGTTGATATGCATAGGTTTCAAGACTATAATCCTTGTACATAGCGCTTACCTTGCAAACATCGTGCATCTTTTCTTTCTTCCTTGTATTGGTTTCTACAAACACTGTGTTTCTATTTGGATACAAGTATTCATATTGCATTGTATTTATGAAATACTGGCAGACTTGGAGCGGACAATATCACCAATATATTTCCTAATATCTTAAGGGCAACCCTGTGTACTAAACTCCCGCTCTGTGCAGGCTCGGGGGAAAGGTCGGACCACATTGGGTTTTATGTGTGTTTCTGCAGAATGATACATTGCAGTATGTTCTTCTGTGGTTCAGAACGTAATTTTGTATTATATATTTTGCCTTGTGAAAGTCCTTTTGATCTGCTACTGCATGGCCAGTGAGAAATAGAATACTTTTGCAGGGATTAAAGAGGCAATGAAAGTTCAATCATCTGTCTTTGCTCTCTTTTTTCTTTTGGTGGAAAGAGGGTGTTAGGAAAAAATATTTTCATGTTGTTTTTAGCTCTCACCTAATTTGCAGATTCTTAAGCGCTCCCTTCATTGATGTGCTAATATTATATGTTGTGATTCTAAATTACAGCCGGATGATGGCTGTGTTTTCTCCTTAACATTATTTTCCTTTTTGCAATATTAGGGACTCTATTAAGCCTTGGTTTGTTTATTTTTCATGGCCATGCTACTAATTTTGATTAGAATAATTTTAAATACACTGTAATTGATGTTGCTATTTTTTAATTGTCTTCAGATCCTTTTCCATGAAAGCTGTAAATAAAAATGATGAAGATTTGGAAAATGGGATGTTGGAGAAAGATGCAGAGAAGTCAGTACGCAGCAATAAAGTTGTCACCGTACACAATAAGGCCTTGCTATCCGGAGTCGCTTATTGTATTTCGTCCTGTAGCATGATATTAGTGAACAAGTATGTACTCTCCAGCTATGACTTTAATGCAGGGATTTCATTGATGCTCTATCAGGTACTTCCCAAGCTTTGTTACATTTTTGAGTTATCGAGGTATACAGGTTGGGTAGTGACAATAATCTTTGATCTTTAATGCAGAATTTTGTCTCGGTGGTGGTGGTTTCTATCTTGAGACTTTTTGGGGTAATTTCTACAGAGCCACTCACTTGGAAGCTAGTCAAAGTCTGGTTGCCTGTTAATGTTATATTTGTTGGGATGCTTATAACAAGTATGTTCAGGTACAAGATAATCCCTCGTCACATTTGTCGTACCATTTCATTATTTGAATATGCATATTGTTTTATTTGCTGCTGGTTGCACAAGTCATTCATTGCGCCCTGTTATGTTGGAAGCGCATCTATGATGCACAGTTCTCTGGGAACAGTTTGTCGGTGTGATCAAGTCAGATGGGCCTTTATGCAATATTATATTTCCTGGGAATTCATTGTTTTCTACCTACAATGCATGATATCTTAGAAGGTCTTATNACACACACACTATGTGTGTTTGGAGGATTCTCTGATTGATGTATCTTCAATTTGATCTCTTATGTATGTCAATTTCTCTTTAGATGAAAAGATGCTTAAGATGTAGGTCATGAACACTCAAATTCTCATTACACGGCATGTCAAAAAGCAGAAAAGGGTTAAAAACATTAAAATTCAAAAAAAAAAAAAAAGGTTTCAAGTGGAGCTATTTATGTTCTTCTGCTCCAACATTTTCATCACCTGTTTCAGTACTCTGGCATATTATCTCCATATTATGCTGCAGCATTGAAAGATGCCTTAGCATAGCTGCTTTAGTGTTTACCAATTAAAGTTGTGTTTCAGTGAATCTTGGCTGAATAGCTTACTTGTAATTGTCTTATTTCCTGCAGTCTAAAGTACATCAATGTTGCTATGGTCACTGTCCTGAAGAATGTCACTAATGTGATAACTGCTGTTGGTGAGATGTATTTATTCAACAAAACCCACGATAACAGAGTTTGGACTGCCCTTTTCCTGATGGTATGATATTCGCTTAAATAGAATTTTTGCTTCGGTAGCATCATAGCTACTATCCTGGTATGTTGGCTGTGTGTAAGTGAGAGCAAGATAACATGCACCAAATTGTCTGCGGTTGATCAAAATCAGTTGTTACTCTAGGCTTTACATTTTCTTCTTGTCACTTGCACATAAGAGGAACTCTGCTGTTGTTTCGTGTTAACTTTTCCTCTTATGTCTACTAATCTTTTTTAAAAATCTGCAGCATACCTGTTACTGATTCATGTGTTAGTGCATCATAAAGTTCAAGTGAAGTATGTAAATACGAAGTGTTACTGGCCAACCAAATGCTACTCTATAAAGTAATTTGTTAAGGATATTTCTCAACGCCTTTGTATATCCAGAATTGGCATTAGTATTCTTTTCTCCCTTTCCTGTCACAATAAGAGTTTTTAGAGCGTACAGATTTTTCGGTAGGCACTACTCAGTACTCACAGTATTTGCTAGAACCCTAGTCCTCAGTCAAAGGCATATTAAGTGATGCGTAGAGCTAATAGAATGAATCTCATGGCGGGACCAAGTGGTATGTGCTGTATTTAGAACAAATGGCACGTACTTTAATGAATTGTGTGCCATCTTTTTTTTTCGAGCATTACTTCTGGTACCAGTGGTTCTTTCTGGTAACTAGTGCTATCAGTAGTTTTCAGGAGTATCATATCGAGCTCTTTAGTATTTGGAATGTCCGTCTTCAACCCTAAACCGTCAGCCTTGACGTGATTTCACTAGAGATGCATATACTGAAACTAAACTTTGAAATATGATGTACTTGTGAGATGAAAGCATTAGAGATATAACTCTTCACTTGTATTGTGCAGATTATTTCAGCAATTTCTGGAGGAATTACAGATCTTTCTTTTCATGCCATTGGTTATACATGGCAGATTATTAATTGTTTCTTGACAGCGTCATATTCTGTAAGTACATCTTTTTCTTCTTGTGTTTCCTTTATGATCAATATATATATATGGGCTCAATAACTGTGCTTCGTCTATAAAAAGAATGATGCCCACATGTGACAACATTATTGAATAGAACATCGCTGTACTTGATGTCCTTTGTAACAACTCAAGCTTCTAATGAAGTGGAGCTGCAATATTTTGGATTACACACAGATATTTCCTATTGAAGAGATGTGATAGTAACATATCCCCTTGTAAACTCTGAACTCTGAAAGTGTCTTAGGATGTAACCGAATTGCCATATACCTCTTTATGCGCTCTCAATGTGAAACGAAAATGATGATACAGTTTGATTCGAGTAATGTTAATCATGGTATTAATGTTGCTGTCTGTCCAGGTAAAGAGATATAATACTTCCCGATTTAATTCTTAAAAACTCAATTATTTGAATATATACAGTGTTTTAGTAAATATATAATTTGAGCTCGAATTGAAACTCGAACTTGAGCCTAGTTAGCTTGTGTTCAATTTGAAGCTTGTCCCATACTCTAAGCTAGAACTCAGCTATTCAATGTTTCAGTCAAGCTCAAAACATCCAGAACTTGACTCGGCTTGGTTTCTGTTTGCCAACAATAATGGGAACAAGCAGCAGTTTTTCCCCAATTGATTTGTGAGCGTCTCATCTCAGTCGTTTTTCTTGAGGTTACATTTAATTTGATGTTCTAATTAATCGCTTGAAAATTCTTAAAACTTTTTGTGCATCTAGCATCTTTTTCCTATGTTGAATTATTTCCAATGCTAATGCTTAAATTTAAAATAATGTTTTGATCTTCTTGTGAAGTTGACTCTACGCAGGGTCATGGACACTGCCAAGCAAGTGACTAAATCCGGGAACCTGGACGAGTTCTCAATGGTTCTGCTAAATAACACGCTTTCACTGCCTTTAGGCATTTTTCTTATATTAGTATTCAACGAGGTGGACTACCTTTCTAGAACGTGAGTTTTGGTTTCTCAAAGTAGCAATTTGTTTTCCTCAACGTTTTTGATCTATCTCATCCTTAAGTAGTGACCATTCTCTGAGCAGAGGCGGACCTAAGGTTTGAAGGTCGGGGTGCACTTTTGGATTCAACCAAAATCTACATTGTATATAGGGTGCCCACTATCACTAAATTCTAAAGACATATACATGTATACATGATTTTTTTGCCGAACTCTATGGGTGCCGGTGACCCCTCTCGGTGTAACATATGTCCGCCTCTGTCTCTGAGGCACACGCATTCACATGTATGCACATGCTTTCTGCCTATTGTTAGAACCTGTGATAATTTCTAATACTATATTGCTACTTTACTGAAGGTGAAGACTGTTATATTGCACATTGATAATTTTGCGACATGTTTTTTTGTGCAGGCCACTATTACAATTGCCAACATTCTGGTTGGTAACAACCTTTAGTGGATTTTTGGGCTTAGCAATTAGCTTCACATCTATGTGGTTTCTTCACCAAACAAGTGCCACCACTTATAGGTATGGTTCTTTTCATATGACTCGGCTATTTCATTTTTCTTTGATTAATTTGACATTAAATCTTTCCCTATTTGATTTTTCTTTGATTTCGGATTCTGCAGTCTTGTGGGATCACTAAATAAGATACCACTCTCTGTTGCTGGTATTTTCCTCTTCCATGTCCCAACAAGTCTGGAGAACTCTGCCAGTATATTCTTTGGTGAGTGTTTACTCTTTCTCTTTACTCCAGCAGCGTACACAAGATTTTGCACGAATATTTGATTCATTGTCGCACAAGGTAGGGCTAAGGCTGCATACACACTACCTCCCCAGACCCCACTTGTGGGATTATACTGGCTATGTTGTTGTTGTTGTATTGATTTATTGTCGCAATTCAGCTTGTACGCGTGTTTGGGTCTGGGGCAACTGAGTTCTAGGACTTTACGTCCTCTCTCAAATTGATGTTTACTTTGCATTATTTTAAGCTTTTTGGCTTGCATATCCTTTTAGAAAAATATTATACACGTGTGTGAAGCAGTGTCACATGACACCACTTCGTGAAGGTGTTTCCGCCACTGCTTTGATCTAATACCTTTCTAAGTGAAGATGTGCTAGAACAATGTTAAGGAAAATGTCTGTTGCATTTTGCAGGCCTCTTGGCTGGAGTATTTTTCGCCCGAGCAAAGATGCAGGAGAAATCTCGATCTTGAACAGTGGAAACTAACACCCTTTCAATTGTATATTAGCTTTTTCCTTGATTGTAAAGCAAAAATGTGACATGATCAATCAATTCAAGAGATAGATCAAGATTTTCATTCATCAATGGACCTGCCTATTCTGATATAAACCTCTTTACTGTGGCTGCTGATTCTTGATTCAAATTTTATGAGCTTGTATTTTTTCCAACATTTTTTCAAGCTAAAACCACCTATATCACCTCTTTTCAAACCCCTAAAAGGAGTTTCAGATAAAGAAGCCTAATGTCTCTTCATTTCAAACCCCTTAAATGAGTGATTTTGTACTAGTTACATGAAAATAAATCATCACACAAAACAACAACAAAAACTCAGTATAATCCCACAAATGAGGTTTGGGGAGGGTAGTACATACACAGACCTTACCCCCGCATTTAAGAAGGCAAAGAAGCTCTTTCCGGTAGGCTCTTGACTCAGGAAAATCATCACACAACCTTAAAAAGAACACCAATTCTTATAAGTAAGAATAAGCTGTCAAGATAACTGATCAATTCATCCAATTATAAAATAATGGTTATTTAAAAAATAAAAGATTGTCCTTGAGTCGAGGGTCTATCGGAAACAGTCTCTCCACCAAGAAGTAAGGTGTGCGTACACTTTACCCTCCACATCCTACTTGTGAAATTCCACTGGTTTTTTGTTGTTTGTTGTTGTTAATAAGCCAAACTAAATAAGTCCTAAACTCTAGGAGTGCCTTTAGAAAAGGGAAGAGTCACCACAAGGATAGAACATTTTACCTAGACTGCAGCTTGATATTAGAGTAAAAGGATCATTAAGATGCTTATATATCTAAGTATCTAACAGATACGTATAAATTATTGAGCCCTGCAATCGTTGCCTTAGGCCAAAGACTAGCTGGTTGAAGCTGCAGAGATTAAAAAAAAAATATAGGGAAAATGACACTGTATAGCCGCTCTCAAAATAATAGCCGAATTTTTTTATTTTTTTTTTATATATATACACTCAATATGTTATATATAAAAATTATACAAATTTTTACACATTTTTGGCTACCGAATGTAAAATAGTTTCTGGTGCAGACTAAAATTGATAATAGCCCAAAAAAATATCCGCGCAAATATCTCACAGTATACCAAACAAAAGCTCAAAATACCAAAAGTGACTTCTATTCTACTACAAAATTTGGAAGGAAATCAAAAGGAGAGATAAAATTAGTTCACTATCATCTGCATAATATAGATTGCACCGGAAGATTAAGATAATTCTGGAGAAAAAAATGATACACATTACAAGATTACTTGAGGACTTAATGTAACTTTCTGTTTCCTGGAATGTCAAAATTACACATGGAAAACCAGGTTTTGGTGGCAATTAGAGCCTTTTTGTCTTGTTTTTATGCGTAATAGCTTTTCTGTGCTCCTTGGAATTGTGTACTTTCTCATTCAACTGGTGCTAAAGAACTCAATTATAGATTGGCAACTCTAATGATTAGTCGTAATCTCAAATATAACTCCTTCGTGATTCTTGATATTACGTCGAGTCCCAGAAACTTCGTTTATCTGCAGACCATGCCGAATTGCTTCATTGATGACCATAGCATCCATGCTGCATATAGAATGATCGGTTAGGCGTAAAGACCAATAATGCATCAAGAACGAAAATGAGTTAAGTCGCTAAAATCATGTCAACAGGCTTTTTTTCATTTTCTTCCACACGATGTTAGTTTAAGTTATGTTGAAGAAGATGGGGTATATACTAGTATGTAATCTTTGTAAACAACGCAAAAGCGAAACTTGCATCGTTTCATGATCACAATAATTTCTTGAAGATCATTTCTACATGGATTTTCTGTACATTCAGCAAAGCCCTCCAAAATTTTGCAGCCATTCAATAGCCATGATTACAATAAACAAGACAGGGCACTTACACTTTTGTTCGTGAAACATAGCCCAAAATAAATTTGCATTTGCTTGGATCACGGTCTCTGAATAGCTGTTCAACAGTATCAAAAAGCAAAGGAACATTTGCCTGCTGAAAACTTAAAGCTTGTCAAGGGATACACTCTATTCTTTCTCGACTATGATATCATCTAAATGAAGAAAAATGTAACTAAAAAGTTAAGTTTATAATTCAATTATTCAGTTAAAGACAATCTAGTTGCTGTTGAGTTTCAAATGTAGATCAGTTGATTTAACATTAGTACCAATTAAAGCATTAGGAGATAAATCAAGTAGGATATAGATGTCAGCCCCGAGAACTAAATCAAATCCTTCTGAGCGCTGCTGTAATATGTGATTCAGCTGAGCGGAGTTGCCCCATTCCAGCTTCTCCGCTTTTAATTCTGCATTGAAGATAAAGGTTAAATGATGACATGACCTTATAAAATGACAATTACAGTCCTCAATTGTTCACAAACCTGCACAACATATAGTATCGTCTAAAGATTCCTGCAGCTTTATGTTTTTATTCAGAATCTGGAATGAGATAAAAAAAGATTAGAGGCTGAACTTTCAACACACTCCTGCGGCAAAATTCAATTGCTCAACCTTGCCTTGAGAACTTCCTCATTATGGTCTGTCATCACTACTTCGCGACAGAATCTACTGCAGAGTACTCCGGTTATACCTGTATATACGATGCAAAGAACTAATTCAATCTTAACTAAAATAGAGTTGATGTCATGTGACCACAAGGTCACGGGTTCAAGCCGTGGAAACAGCCTCTAGCACAAATGCGGGGTAAGGCTTCGTATAATAGACCCTCGTGGTCCGGCCCTTCCCCGGACACTGCACATAGCGGTAGCTTAGTGCACCGGGCTGCCCTTTTTTTTAAATACAAATAGAGAAGGAGAAATGATATGGAAAGTAAAATAAAAAGAAGTGCAAAGACAAGGTCTTTCTTTTGCCTTGGGGGAGGAAGTACGTAATGTTATTAGCAGTTAAGGTTGTGAATAGTTTAGGAACTCAAATTCACGTCTTCCGTCAAAAGTGGCCTTTAAGTTACGTCAAAAAGCTCCTATCTTCATAAAAATAAACTCTTACTCCTCATAAAATAAACTCCAACTCTAATTTCAGACCCAATTCCTTTTTAAGTTTAAAACAAAAAATATTTAATTTTCATCTAAATAGTGATGGCCAAAAAAAAAGACACATAAACTGGGACAAAGAAAATACACATCATATATTAATTTATTGAGGTTTTGGGGATGATACTAACCAACACCAGAGCCTAGTTCGATGACAGAACATCCTTGGAGCATGTTAGCATTCTTTGTAAGATAATCATTCAACAGTACCGCCCCGGGCCACACCAACTGTCCTGTCAAATCAAAATCAGCTGTTCCAAAAATAGTCAGCCGCAGTCATTATAATGGGTAATACTAATGCAAGCATGGGGCGATCGAAAACAATCCAAGGAACAAAAACTAAACATATCAAAATGGGAGAAGATTTTAGTGAAGTTTGTTCTGCACTGCTAGGAAAAATTCTACAAGTAATGGAACGAGAGAGAGCTAACAAACTATTTGCTGTGTTCATCACTACACATTGTCGTTGATATATTCAGACAGGTTTATATCTGTGAATCTTAATCTTCTTAGGATATCCCCCATCCCCACCTCATTTTCTTACTTCTCAAGTTTTTAAATTTAATGAGCCCGTCGATTGCTCGTTATAAAGCCTCTCCAATAAGAATTATTATTATTATGTTGTACTTCACAAAAGTAGTACCATTAGTCCTTATAACTGCTTTAGATAAGTAAAGGTCCCCAATGTGGACGCGACCCCTATCTAAGATAGAAAACTTGAACATTTCTTTGCCTCCCTTTTTCTCCATTCTAAGATCTATTATGGCTTAATTTGTTGGAGGATGTTCGGTAGTCCACGTAAAGAGAAAGAAGACTGAGGATGGTTTTTGTTGCCCAACAAACAATTTTGTCACAAATGAGCCAATGATCACTGGTCTACTTGACATTGCACTAAAGAACAGAGGCGGATGCAGCTTGCGACCCCATACTTCCTACGCAAAGCATAAACTTATGTGCAAAAATCCATTAAAATTGCAACAAATGGTAGATAGGTACTCATAATTTTAAAAATACAATGGATTTGATGCTAAGAACTTTAAATATTGAATCTTTAGAGCTTAAATCCTAGGTCTGCCTCTGTTAAAGAACCCTTTTTTTCAGTAGACATTGCATTAAAGAACCCTTTTTTTCTTTTAAAAAGGAGCTATTTTTTATTCCAACTGTGCNTGCAAAGATGCTTATGCTTATGTGAGATGGACTCCATTTGACAAAATAATGGCCATATTACAGTAGCCCAACAAACAATTTTGTCAGAAATGAGCCAATAATGACCGGTCTACTAGAATTGCATTAAAGACAGAGACGGATCCAGGATTTAAGTTCTATGGTTTCAACATTTAAGGTTGTTAGTATTGAAACTACTGTATTTTTAAAATTATGAGTTCATACGACCTACTATTAAAGACATACTATTTGTTGCAATTTTAGTATATTTTTTATATAAACTTATGCTCTGCATCGAATGTACTTAGTTCAGATCAACCCGACAACACAACACCCCATCGGCACCTCATTAAAGAACCCTTTATTTCAGTAAACATTGTATTAAAGAACCCTTTTTTTCCTTTAAAAAAGAGCTATTTTTTTTATTCCAACTCTGCAAGAATCATTGTTAAATCGTTACTTAGTCCACATATCACAAATCAACAGTATAAGTGTACAAGATTGTGTCCCAAAAATCCCCCCACCCGCAAAAAAAACACCAATTATTCTTTTCAATAAACTACAGAAAGTAAAATAGGTTTACTAACTTGAAGCAGATTGGAGGCAGTAAAGCTGAAGAACATGAGACCCAAATGTAAAATCTGTAATTTGGTAGCTGCAAAAAGAGTGAAAAGTAAACTCATTTTCATTATACACAAAGCATAAAGTTATATGTACATATCTGCACCCAAAAAAAAAAGAGAGATACCCACTTATCATCAATGAAGAAAGATTCGTCCAAACACACTATATCGTCATCTTCTTCTTCTTCTTTTCTACTCATGTTAATGGTGGTTTCTGTTTTCTCCTTTGCTCACAGCTCGTTGCCAACTCTTAAGACGCTCCTTTCACTTCACTTTCTTTCTTGTGGGCCTTTGGGCCTTCTACTATTAATTTTTAATTTTATGGGCTTGGGCTTTAAGTTTAACAAGTTGTAAATAGAAACTTTCAGAAACCACTATTGTTTAGTGGTTGTTAACTTTCCAATAGCTACCATATATATAATTACTTCCTATAATTACTATTCAGTTGTTACAGTAGTGTATTCGTGCTGCTGTATTACCATATACAAAATTACTTCCTATAACTACTATTAAGCTGTTATGGTAGTGTATTTGCGGTATTCGTGTTGCTATATTCATGAATACAGTAGCAAAAAATATCTAAAAATTAGGGCAATCCAGTTGTACGCGCATGTATTCACATGTATTTGTGTCATATATTTATGAATACAGCAACAAAAAGCGCCTAAAATAAAGGCAGTCCAACTGTACACGCATGTATTCACATGTATTCGCAATTGTATTCATGAATATAACAGTAAAAGCGCCCAAAAGCAAGCAGTCCAACTACACACGCATGTATTCACATGTATTCGCGTCATGTATTCATGAATACAACAGCAAAAAAAGCCTAAAATCATGCAGTCCAGTTGTAAGCGCATGTATTCACATGTATTCGCGCTATTGTATTCATGAATACAACAGTAAAAGGCGCCTAAAATCAAGATAGTTCAGTTGTATGCATGTATTCACATATATTCACGCCATGTATTCATGAATACAGTAATGACAAATACATTAAAAATAGCATATCCAGTTTTCTTGGAGAGAGGAAAAACATAAATAGCGTATTTCGTGCCTTATTTCATGCCTCACTCGTAGTATATACCATAAATACTTATTTTGCTATAAAATATAAAAGGTAGCTATAGAAAATAATATTTTAAAATAATTTTGATTTATAATAAATAGGGTGTATACCTTTGTTATAGGAAGTAAAACTTTCTTTCATATTATACATAGACTTTAGTGAAAATGACACCAGGTAGCCACTTTTAAGTATTTTGTTTAGAATATATTCATAGTTTACAATGTATTTAAAGATTAGCCAATTTTGCTCAAACTTCAGAACACGACGTCCTAGAGTTTAAGTCTTAAAGTTCAAACTTCAGGACATCGTATCCTAAAGTTCGAAAATTGTTTCCAGAAGTTCGAATGNTCAAAATTTTACAAGTTCCAAAATTATGAGTTCGGAGGTTTATGTGTTTGGAAGTTTACAGGTTCAGAAATTATAAAGTTTACGGGTTCGAAATTTTGCGGTTTTGAAAGTTTAGCGGTTAGAAAGTTTATGAAATTTGTGGGTCCGGAAGGTTGTTGGTTTGAAAGTTTATGGATTCATGTTTATTATATCTAAATTATTTATGAATACTCTTGAGAAGTCATTTTCCTTAATTTGCGTACCAAACACTGGAAAATGAATAAGATTATTACTTGTTTTCCAAGAAAATATTATTTTGGAAAATATTTTCCGTTATACCAAACACACCCTAAGTCCTGAATTTTCGAATTCAGGATACTTAGTCCTGAAGTTTGGGTGAACTGGCTAATCTTTAAATACATTGTAAATTATAGATATATCTTAAATAGGGGGCTTAAAAGTGGCTACTGTTGCACTTCACCATAGACTTTAGGTATTAAACTAGTCCCTCCATCTCAAATTATTTGTTGTGGTTTTTAAAAATAGTTGTCTCGAATTATTTGTCATTTTAGAAGGTTAAGATAACATTAATAATTTTTCCGTATTTTACCCCTAGTAGTAATTGTTTTTGAAGATGGAGATGGTACATAAATAAATAAATATATAAATAAATAAATATTCAATAAAAAGAGATTACATCTTAAGACATATTAAGGATAAAATAGTTAAAACCCCCTTCTAATTAATGCTTCTTAAGGATCGTGTAAAAGAAAAATACGACAAATAATTTGAGACGGAGGGAATAATAATAAAGTTGGAGTTTCATTAGTGAAATTTGAAACCTCATAATAGTAGTTACATGTGAATTTTTATTTTTTATCCTAGAATTAATGTCCACTAATCACATTTCAATTCCCTCTTTGAAAGATAGCCATTATACTGGAGTTTCGAAGTGATATTATCTTGGAGTTTTACTGATGAAATTTGTAAATTTAAGGACAATGGCTAATATCAACTACAAGACTAAAATTGTGACTTTTTCCTCATATATGTAAGTGATTTTTACCTATTTATGCTATATTATAAACTTACTTACCCTTCTTATAGATGTTATTACTTACTTATATTTTTTAGGGTAATTATAGATTTTATATCTACCAAGAAAATATTTACATTATAACAGAACCCCACAAGTTGGACAGGACACCAACTTTTACATCATCATGCATGTCTACTATCTTCTATCCCCACCCCCCCCCCCTCTTTTCCCCAATACACCTTTCGATTACTCATTTACTATAGGTAATGGTTGATATTGTGTAGCTATCAAAATTTTTAGTGCTGAGTGGGACTCCTAGATACTTGACAGGCAGCTCGCCCTTTGCAGATCCCAAGTTTTCAAGAATCTCACTTTGTACCTTTTCTTGAACTCCACCAAAGAAAACAGAACTGCAAGAAGCTTTTATATATGATTGAAGTTGAATCTCCTCTACAGAATAAGAGAAGATCATCTGCAAAACTTAATTGCACAGTATGCATTTTTTCACACCTCGGATGATAGTTAAAATCAGGGATTTGCTGCAGTTTTTTCAGGCTTGTTGTAAAATATTCCATTGCTAGTACAAACAAAAATGGGGATAGGGGTCCCCTTGTCTCAATCCTCTCTTGGCTTCAAAAGGTTTTGTTGGACTGTCATTGATAAGTATGGAGTAAGTGAAACTTTGTATGTATTTCATAATCCATTTAACATATTTATCAGGGAATGCCAAACCAACCAAAATTTGTTCTAGGAATATCCACTCTAACGAGTCATAGGCCTTTTGCATGTCAAGTTTCATCATACATCTTGGTGACATACCTTTTCTCCCATAAACCTTTACCAGTTCATGACTCAAAATGATATTGTCTGTTATTACCCTGCTTGGAACAAAAGCAGACTGACTATTATCAACTCACTTGTCCATAAAATCCCTGTAATCGTTTGGTTAGTATTTTGGATATAATTTTGTATAGTGTGGTACAACAAGAGATAGGTCTGTATTCTTTGATAGAGGAAGGATTTTTGACTTTTGGCACTAGAGTTATTTGTGATGACCCGCCATGTCATCGTGCCACATAGGCGCCATTTGACATATATCAATGCCATGTGGAAGCTTACATAAGAAGAAGGCTAGCATTTGTGAGAAGATTCTAGAGAGGTATGGATATTTCCTTAGGAAAAACCTAGATCTTTATGGATTTGCTAAGAAAGTCCTTGGAATCTTCTAGGCTTGTAGAAAATTCTAGAGAAAGCTATTATCTTGTAAATATCAAGGACTTGTATAATAATTAATATTTACACTCTAGCCCCTAGGAGACTAGTATATAAAGGGGGTCACTCATTTGTAATTCATCAAGAAAACAATTCAAGTTCTCTCTAATACAAAGCTTCCTTTAATAATTCTCTTGTGTTCTTTCTTCCATTCTCTTAGTGATCTTGAGTGTAGTAAGGCTGACTTGACATACCAAGAACGTGAGCAAGTTGTGCAAGATCGTGAGTGATTTGTCAAGTGCCGCACGTGTACTTAGTTAACAACTAAGAACGTGATACCATGGTAACAGAGCAAAGGTTTTAACTAAGGGAATGGTGAACGACGAAGAAATTAACGTTGCATACACCCAAGCCAACGTCATCTAGGATACTGCTGGAAAGAGTGGCTATAGCAAAAAGAGGAATGCCACCAACAAGAGCTAGGAGGTGCCACTTGAGGTTGTGTCAAACGAAGGGCTTACATCCCAAGAACCATCTGCCACTAAGGCGAGCGAGGATGAAGTAGAGGTCTTTCTAGAGGACGTCTCGCTCGGTAAAAAGTGGGTGATGAAGATGAACGCGGGGATGGATGCTATGGAGATCTTTGGCCAATGCTTGGGGAAGGTGGAAGGCACCCTTAACGCTCTTAAGGGGCACACTCTTGAAGAGATTGAGAGTATCCGAAATGACTTGGAGGGATGAACACAGACTGAGATGGAACTAAGGCAAACCATCACTGCCTTAGAGTGAAGACTCATGGAGTCTTTGAGTACTATCGATGCTATGAAGGCAAAGATAGAGTCACTCGAGGAGCATGTCAATGCTGGCATGATCGAGGTAGCCATCAATGTTGTGGTGACGAGGGAGGCCAAGATCGAGGCTCCTAAACCCCCAGTATTAAAAGGTATTCGTGATGTACAAGAAGTGGAAAACTTCCTTTGGCACTTGGAGAACTACTTCAGGCACGACAAAGTGAGGGACGACGAGGCCAAGATCAACACTACGGTATTGCACCTCTTAGAGACTGCCATGCTATAGTGGAGAAGGAAGATGGCCGATGTGGATAAAGTTTTATGTACTATTAGCACATAGGATCAGTTCAAAGCGGAGTTCAAGCGACAATTCTTTCCAAACAATGTCTTGTACAAGGCAAGGCGCAAGCTTAGGGAATTGAAGCAAACAAGGAGCATATGTAACTATGTCAACGAGTTTACTACCCTTATGCTTCAAATCCCCAACCTGACCAATGATGACTTGTTGTTACACTTCATGTATGGGTTGCAAAATTGGGCTAAGTAGGAGTTGCAATGCCGACAAGTCACTGATATAGACCAAGCCATAGTAGAGACCGAATCATTGATGGATTTCAGGCATGACAAGCACGACAAAGGCAATGGCAAGGAATCAAAGGTTAACAAAGTCAAAGGTGGGGGAGACCGTGGCAAAGGCAAGGAGATATAACAACAATACTCCAAGACTCAAGATTTCAAAAAGTCGAGCGGCCGTCAAGGCTACGCCGAGAAGAAGGCATAGGTTGAGAAGAAGGGATGTTATATATGTGGA